TGATAACTTTTCAAAGGAAATGAATCTAGTAAAGTTAGCCAACATAGTGACAATGTCTCAAGAAAATAATCAACCAAAAATAAAAACCTACTGTCACACTGGTTATGCCATTTGTTTACAAATACATTGTATGTGAGCACAAATGCATGCATGTGGGGTACTGGGGGCTGAACCCAGAGCCATACACAAGCCAGGCACACACTCTACCTCTGAAGTATATCCTCAGCCCTTTGGAAAATTTAATGTTCGCCAGGCGTGGTAGTACACACTTATAATCCCAGGACTCAGAAGGTGGGGCTAGAAGGATTGCTGCATGTGTGAGGTCAGCCTGGGCTCACAGTGAGCTCTTGAGGCTAGCCTCAACTACATAGTGAGACCTTGTCTCAAAAAAAAAAAAAAAAAAGAAAGGGCCAGACAGATAGCTCAGTGGATTAAAGCGCCTGCTTAGGCAGACACAGTGGCCAAAGAGTCAATCCCCCACCTGCCCTGCTGGCGCTGTCCCCAGGGTGTGAGATTAGGCATGGTGGCACGTGCTTATAATCCCAGTGCTTTGGAGGCTGAAAACAAAAGGATCACTACAAGTCCAATCTGTGTAGTGAGACCCTGTACTAAATACACTTAAAAAAAAAAAAAAAAAAAAAAAAAAAAAAAGAAGCTGGGGAGATAGCTCAGTGGCATAAGCACCTGCCTGTCAAGCACAAGGTCCTGCGTTTGATCTCCAGTACCGGAAAAAAAGTTGAAAAAATGGGCTGTGGATGTAGCTCAGTGACAGAGTGCTTCCCTGGCATGCAGGAGGCCCTGGGTTCAATCTGAGTCTACAGAACACAAAATCTCAAATCATCGACCAAAGGGTACAGTGTTTTTTTAATAAACCCAATGTCTAAACAAAAACAGATGTCAGAAGACATTAAGATAAGCAAGTCTCTGTACGGAAGTCCGCTCCCAAGGGCTGCACGACGGAGGCAAACGCAGCCTCTGCGTGTCGGCCACGCGCGTGGGCCAGGAGCACCTACCTCACCAGGCGCTGGCTCAGGGCACAGCCATTTTTCCAGCAACATGTCCCAGATTTTTTCCAAATTAATTTCATTAACTTCAGCTATTTCTTTAGCTGCTGTATGAATGTCTAAGATATCAAAGATACAGAATTTAAAACAATAAAAATCTAAATCAGGCATGATAATTCACACTCATAATCCCACAATTTGGCAGCCTGAGGCAGGAGGATTAAAGCAAGCCTGGGCTACACAGTGAGTTCAAGGCCAGCATGGACTACACAGTGATACCCATCTCAACCTCCTCCAGCCCTCTAAAAAATAAAAAGAGAAAAACTTAAACTTGTAATGTTAGATAACCAGGAAGTTGAAACAATAGTTCTTGCTGGATCAAAAAATATCTGTGTGCTTACCAGGATAATCTCTGCCAGAGGCATTCTGCATCCTCTCGTTGATGCTGGGGTGCTCGTAGAGGCTGACAATGAGGTGGGCTGGCTTTCCAATCACTCGCAGGTACTCTGCGGTGTTCAGCTTGTGGGCTATGAGCACAGCCTCTGTGCCCGAGCGCCGGAACTGGAGGTGAAGCTTCTTCAACAAAGCCTGGGCCTTTTCTCGTGTCTCATCCTTGTAACAGTTCCAAGTGCAAGACAGGCTTGGCCAACCGGAGCAGAGGCTAAGAACCCGCCTGTACCAGCCTGGGGCCTCCCTTCCAGCAGCACTCTAGCAAGGGCCCTCCTCTCCCACCCCAGGCGCCAGGGCAGGACCAGGAGCCGCACTGAACGCGAGCAGCCACACTACAGAGCAGGGAGTCACCAGGCTTCAGGTGCAGACATACCTGAGGTGGGATGTTCTGCAGCCACCTCTCAGCCAAATACAGGCAGAACTTCAAGCTGGACATCTTGAAGGAGCCTAAAATGAGGAAGAGAAGATTGATGAGCAAACCTGAGTCTTTCCAAGACAATGTACGATAGCCAAATTATAATGTATTTTTAAAATAAAAATGAATTCTCCCTCTGTAAGTTCCCTCTGTGTGAGCGGGGCAATGCCACCCACTGCCACTGTCACTTTACACCTGGGCATCTCCCCGGTGTTCTACTGGATGAACCCTATTTATCTGTATTTCGTACAGGGTCTACAGAGTCGCACTATGTAGATCTGACTCACAGCGAGTCTCCTTTTCAGCCTCCCAGGCGCTGGGATTCCAGGCGTGAGCCACCATGCCTGGGCTTAAGCAGTCTCAGCGTGCCCTGGGGGCGGGGCCAGCACCCCGCTGTGCTCTGCCTAAGAAGGTGATTTAACTGCTGAGCTATCTGGCTGGCCCACTTTATTTTGTTTTTAACCACTCCCTGACTGATGGGCATTATAAAAAGATAATCATTTTCAATTTTGCTACAACCAAAACAAGGTGCTAAGTGCTTGCATCTGTGAACTTGACTATGTGATGCTATCTAAGGACGCACCATCCTAAGTGTGGCAGGTATGAGGAATCAATTTCTGTTCCTACCACAAGTTGGACAATATCTTTGTCCCTGCTACTGCCTGAGCACTTGAGTTCTAGAAACTCCAGCAATCCCATAAGTAAAGAGGATGGACACAGATTTTAAAAACCGTGCATGCCTGTAATCCCAGCACTTAGGAGGCTGAGGCAGGAGGATTGCAACAAGACTAAAACCAGCATGGGCTACACGGTGAGTTCAGGGCCAGCCTGAACTACACAGTGAGACGCTTTCTAAAAAACAAACAAAGGCAAAGAAAGGTACAAAAAAAGGACAAACAAAAATCGACACAGCCAGAGGTGGGGTGCAGGTGGGGGGCAGTGGAGCACTTTCCTAGGATGTGTGAGCCCCGAGTTGATCCCCAGTTCCACAGGAAAAAATAAACAGAACCAGAAGCTGCCCGAAGCCTAGTGAGAAGAGGAATGTGCACCTTCGGGGATTTCCTGGGCGAGAGTGATGGCAATGGCCACAGCCCACTCCGGGTTGACGATGGACAGCAGGTAGGACTCGATGGTCTGCGTGACCCTGGCTACCTCCTTGTTCATCAGTACCGAGGACTTGGCTTGTATTAACTTCAGGAGCTTGGGCTTTAGGCTTTTCTCAAAAACATGTTTGGCTGTAGAAACGTAGAGAGTATCTAGAGAGAACTTCGGAGAAAAAGAAACCAGTGTGAGTCTCTCCCACGCAGGTCAGGACCAAGTAGGGCACAAAGAAGCCTCAGCTGGGCTGAATGTGTTACCTTCATTAACTTGGAGATTAAGAGCAGGGTTGGGAGGGACTCCTCGCTGAGTTCTGAAGCTGGAAAGGAAACAAGAAGGTTACGAAAAAATTAAGAAAAAAAAATTATTGGGTCTGCAGTAAAATTCTTAACAGGTTGGTGAACATACAGAGAATTTTCCAGAAGTTCTGTGCCGTGCCAAACAGGATAAGGTGGAAAGGCAGTCTCGTGTGGGCCGCCGGCGGCAGGGTGACGACGTGCTCCAACATATACTGATATTCTAGATCCACTGGCGGGGAAATCCTTCTGTACGACTCCAGGTGTCTCAGAAGACTCAATGCCTGCGTTACAGTAAGCAAGTATTTTCCCTAAGAGTGACTCCATGCATGCCATCTCAGGTCGCCTACTCTATACCTTGACTCCGTTCCCAGATCGTCTCGTCTTCACCAACATCATGGAAACCTTTGCTAGCCTTCCTTGGCACGTCACCCTTCTGCAGCATAATCTGTGTGATCACTGAGGAAATGATTCTGTGGGAAATCCTGTCAATGGCAGGATATTTTGTATGCAAGCCTGCCAGCTCTGCGCAAGTTCTTCAAATACTTTGAGATATACTTTAAAAGTATTTGATTTCATTTTAATTAATTGATTAGTCAATCTTTTGGCTTCTGCACTAAGTTTACATCCCCACTCCTTTTTCATTATGAGACAAGGTTTCACCAAGTTGGCAAGTCACCCAGATTTTAATTTGTAATCCTCCTGCCTCAGCCTCCCAGAGGTATATAGGTATATGCTACCACACTTGTTTAATTACTTCTTTCTGAGACTGAGACAAAGTCTCTATTTGCTCAAAACTGATCCTTCTGCCTCAGGCTCCTGATTAGTTTTGAATATACACTTGTGCCATCAGGCCGAGCTTACTTTCATTTTAAATATAGAGGCTATAAACCTAAAATTAATTCTGGGTTGGGAAGATATAGCTCAGCAGTCTGAGCGCCTGCCTGGCGAGCACAAAGACCCAGGTTAGATCCCTGGTACTGCACGTCATGCCAGCCATGGAAACGCAGGTGCACTGTGCCAGCCCTGCAAGTGGGCATGTAGTGCACATCTGTAATCCCAGCGCTGGGAGGCTGAGATAGGAAGATCACTATGAGTCCAAGCTGCACAGGGAGACCCTGTACCATATAATAAGTAAAAGATTTTTTAAAAATTAAAAATAATAAAATTAATTGGGCCAGGGAGATGGCTCAGTAGGATAAGCGCTTCTCTGGCAAGTGCAAGGGTCTGAGTTCAATCCCTGGTTCTGAAAAAAAAAAAAAAATTTTGTATTTCTTATCCATTTTATGTTTATATTTGGGAGTTCATATAATTTTTTGAATTAACCTATTTTCTTGACCAAACCTCATAAATGGAAAGGGTTAAGGATGTAGCTCAGTGGCAGAGTACCTCACTTGCATACACGAGGCAAAGTTTCAAGTCCCAATACTGCCGCCAAAATAGTTAATGAAGCCAGTGTGATGACATGTGCTGTAACCCCAGCACTCGGGGTGCGTGGGAGGCCTGCAGCGGCTGGGGGTGCTGAGGTAGGCAGATCGCTGAGAGTTGGAGGCCAGCCTGGGCTACATAGGTTCATCTTGTAGCTCAAGGTGAGCCTGAACTACATAGTGAGATCCTTTCTCAAAAACAAAGAAAAAGTAAGTTAATGAAAGTCCTAGATAGGATGGGTGTGACAGACCCGCCTATCAGTACACAAAGCTCTGCGGTCAGGGCCTTCCTGGCTAGATGGCAAATATTCTTGCCTTAATTCTCCAGTGACTTCTTTCTCTTGGGTAGATTTAAATCACCTCAATACAGCAAAAATAGATAAATGATAAAATACAGATGGCACAAAAACATCTTTCACTGTTACATTCCTTGAGAGAAAAAAATGTCTAGATGCAGAGTTCATTTTAGATGGAGAGTTTAAAGGGAGCTGAAAGGATAATTCAGATGGAAATAAGACAACGGCACTATTACCTATAAGTAAAACCAGAAAGATGATTTTTTAAAATCTTTAATATATTTATCATACCTGATTAATATTAATATTAGTTATCTTTTCATCAGCTCTTTCTATAACTTTCAGGACAACTTCAATCATTTCATAGTCATAGGGATCCAGCTGTAAAAAGAAAAAATCAAAACCTTGAAAGATACTGCCATGCTGATAGTTTATTCGGTAATGTTCATTGGTGCAGATTACAAATGTAAAATCTCCATGCATTACAACTTAGATTATATTATTTTAAAAATAAACTAAAAATTTCTGATCTCTAAAATTACACTATAATAAATTACATGCTTAAAATATCTTGAAATCTAAAAAAGGCATTATTTTAATAAAGATGCTTTTACAGTATTAACTATATAAAAAGAACAAACATATGGTTGACATTTCATAATTTTGTAAGACTTTAAAACCAAACCTCTATATTTTCTCATTTATGATGAGAAAATTGAAATAGAAGTGACCTTTCCTAGAGATGACTTAACTAGACTGCGGGTCTTCAGGCAGAACACTCTCGAAGAACTGCTCCAGCTC